GTAAACATATTCCTTAAAGAAATCCAGGAAAACACAGACTGTGGAAGGAAATGAATAAAAGAGCTCAAGAACTTAAAATGGAAATAGAATCAATAAAGAAAACCAAACTGAGGAAAATTATAAAATAAAACATTAAGAACTTGAACAGGAACCTCAGAGACAAGCCTCACAAACAGAATATAAGAGACAGAAAGTATATTCTCAGGCATAAAAGACATAAGAGAAGAAATGGATACCCCAGTCAAAGCAAAAGTAAATCTACAAAATTCCTGATATGAAACAGCCAGGAAATCTGGGACACCAAGAAAATATAAGAATATAGTAGGAATATAAGAAGTAGAAGAAAACTGGGAAAATGGTGTAGAAATGTAGAAAGCATTTTTAACAAAATAATAGAAGAAAATTTCCTTAACCTGAAAAAAAAAGCAAAAAAGAATGCCTACCAAGGAATATGAAACATTCAGAACACCAAATAGACTAGATAAGAAAATAAATCCCCTGAGCACATAATAATCAAAACACTAAACACGCAGAATGGAGAAAGAATATTAAAAGCTGAAAGGGAAAAAGATCCAGTAATATGTAAAGGCAGACATTATAGAATAACACTTGACTCCTCAATGGATACTTTAAAAGACAGATGGACCTGGACGGATTTTATGCAGACTCTAAGAGACAACAGATGCTAGAACAGACTAACATACCATACAAAATTTTTTATCACAATAGAGAAAATAATATACCCCATAATAAAACCCAAATTAAGTAATATCTATCTACTAATCCAGCCAGAAGGTAACAGAAAGAAAACTCACATAAAGAAGTTAACTAAAGCCAAGAAAATGCAAAAAATAAATAATTCCAGAAAAGCAAACCAAAAGCGATGAAACATATATACTACTACCACGAACAAGAACAACACAGCCACTACACCACTATAACAGAGATAGAGCCTGAACTGGACATCTCTCATCTCCAAGTAAAGCTTTCAGTACTTTTCCAGTACCAAGAAGGAATTGTATCTAATTAACTTTTTGGTCAAAGGGTATTCCCCCAACAATGCTAGCTGTTGCTATCACATCAAGGCCTTATGGCTGAAGACAACACATGCAATTCATTAAACATGGAGAACTTGAGCTGGTGCTTAAGCAGAACACCTCTCTACTGTGCTTAGGTATTCCTCATGACAAAGGAAAAAAGTAAACACCAAACCAGGCACAAATCCTGCCTTCAGGAACCAGGAAATCCTCTAGAAGGGAAGGCAGAAAGAGTGTAGGAGCCAGAGGAGAGGGAAGACACCATGAAAACAAGTCCCTCTAGATAAACAGGATCGACAAACATATTAAGCTTGCAGAGACCGCAGCATCGTGTGCAGGACATGCACACGTTTTCCCAGTTTAGGACCTAGACATTAAAGGAGAAGTGGACATATGTTCCCATGCCTAACTTGGAATCTAACTATAACTGGTAATCACCTGCAACTGAAACCTCAGTTTCCTCCAATGTCAGCATGGCACAAGCAACTGCCATTTGAGAGGAGGGAACCTCAATTAAGAACACCTTCAGAAGACAGGGCTGTAAGCAAGCAAGCCAGTGGGACATTTTTTTAAAAAATTGCTTACTAATGTGTGATGGGTCAGTCTATTGTGAGTGGTGCCACCCCTGGGATGGTGGACTTGGGTTCTATAGAAAAGTTGGCTGAGCAAGCCATGAGGAACAAACCAATAAGCCATCCTCCTCTGTGACCTCTGCATCAGCTCTTGTCTCCAGATTCCTGCCCTATTTGAGTTCTTGCTTTGGCTTTCCGAAAATGACTGTAATCCAGGAAATGTAATCCAAATAAACATTTTCCTCTCTAAGTTGCTTTTGGCCCTCGTGCTTTATCACAGAAATAGAAATCCCAATGAAGACAGGCACAAAAGTAACATTCTCTATCGATGTTTCAGAGCTTTGCATATTTAATAATAAAAGTTGTAATGTGGAAAAGCTGTTTCCATATTGAGAAAAATCAATGATGGAATTTTATCTAATTATATTTAACTACATTTGTATAATAGTTTCTAAGAAATGAAATGTGCAAGCTCAAATATAACCTGGATTTTGAAGAGTTGTTATAAAATCCATCTCTTACAGTTTGTATGTAAGAATGTCTTCTTGTCTTTTCAGCAACTTCAAAAGACTCTAGAAAAGTCCACTAGAACTTCTCCCACATAGAGCTGTCATTCAGCGGGTAGCATCACCGCATGGGAGGAGGAGGCAGGAAGTGATACAGTCTTTCATGTGCTGCAGTTAGTTCTCAATCTCATTCTCTTCGATCACTGTGCCTGCTTTGAATTTTTTGACTTAAAAAGGGAACTTTGCTCGAGCCACTGTCACCCTTTTTGGATGAGGTGAAGTCTTTGTTTCTTGATAGTATTCTTTAAAAATCATTCTGAACTCCATGTCATCTGTTTAAAATGCTGCCTTTTTTAAAAAGTAAATTTTTATTTAAATTAGAAACAACCTTATTTTACATACCAATCCCAGTTCCCTCTCCTTGTTGTCCTCCCATGCCCCCCAACGACTCCCCATCCCATAGACAATCAGTGTGTTCATGGTGAGTGTATAGGAATGGTAGGTATGTATGGATCTAGAAACGTGTATTGTATGCTTGCCTCTGAATATGAGTTGAATGTTCATAGGAATGTTGATATACAAGCTGTCTCTGTCTATATTTAAGTGTTGTAACAAATATATATATATATATGTACCCATATATGGTCTATACAAATGTAAATATACAATAAATGGATATCTAAAAATACAGTTCCTTTAAAAGGTTTGGACTTCTCAATTGCAGAAAGTATTGTGGATAATGGGATAATCGGAAGGTTCTAGTCACAGCGCTCCCCACTGCAGACTCACTGTGACCACCAGCAGAATCAATTCTAAGGTCACATCAGAGAGCTACCAGATTTCAAGAAACAGTGCATACATATGATGTTTCTGCAGACTCATTGTGGTTTGACATTATAGTCCAAATTGCGATAAATAAATTTCATACAATAAAGCACTTATTTAAAGCTGTTATAGATAAAAATCGGTATTGTTAATCTGGTACTATAACACAACAAAATTGTCTCTTCTTTTTTTTCTGATTTTCTTTTTTTTATTTATTTTTCAGTTTAAATTTAGATTAGAAACAAGGTTGCTTCACAAGTCAGTTCCAGGTCCCTCTCCCTTTCCCTCCCCTCCTCCCATGCCCTCCCCCTAACCCCCCCATTATCCCCTCATTTCCCCAGGGAGGGTGAGGCCCTCCATGGGGGTGTCCATAGTCTGTCATTTCATACAGGGTAGGGCCTAGACCCTCCTCCAAGAGTTCAGGGTGAGAGTGCATCTCACATTGTTCCATGAGAGTCCAAAGTCCGTGTGTATACTCAGGATGGGTACTGATCTAATTGCTTCATTTCTTGCCCAAACTAAAAATTCAAATCTAAGTGTGCAGGAGAAATACACGTGTGGTTTAAAAATAGCTGAACTTAGTCTAATACTGAAATTTGCACAATACTGAAAATTTGAAAACTTAGATGTTCAGTGTGTTACCATTATCACTATAATTCATGATATGCTTCACTCGGCATGGTACAAAAGTTTGTAAATCTGAGAAGAATAGAAAAGCAGTGTATGGTTTACCGCAAAACTCTGCTATGTTCCACATTTAGTTTTCCTTGTTCTCCTTCTCAATTTTTTTATATGTCCACATACAAATATGGTATATAAAACAGGAATGATTTCAGGAAATTCAAATTCATTCACTGTGTTAAAAGAACAGGTTGTCTCTGGTTCTTTCACACATAATGTCCTCCATGTAATGACCAAACAATCATAAATAAATGGTAGTAAAACAACTTTATTTTGAATGAATAAAACAAAAGATATAGACTATGAATATAAATTAGATAAATATTTATAAGTTTGTATTAAGGATTCTATCGCCGTACATCTTATACTGTGTGGCCTGGAGGTATAAACAGAGAAATGTGAAGAACGAAGTTTCTGATCAGACCGAAAGAAAAAAACACTGTTGCCTCTCAAGAACCAACAGTGCACAAAGAAAATGATCCAGGGTGCAGAAAGGTGAGGGTTCATTTAATATAACCACGCAAACTTTGACACGTTAGTAGATATGTTTCCTGACTGTGGCAACACAGAATGTATAAGCCTGGGAATCCACCTAAAGTCAGAGCTGCTCCTGCTATAGATCTCCACTTTTCCTATAAAATAGCTTTTAGGAACAAAAGCACCCAAAGTATAAATGGATTTATCACAAGTTTTCATTTTATGAAGGTTACTAACCTAAGATGTTTTAGACTATGACTCAAACAAGATGGAGTTACCAACTTAATTTACCAAATACTTAATTCAGTATATGTAAATGTGGCTGGTCTCCTAAGACTGTAATTTTAAAACATCCTCTACTCATCATTTGTTCTCATAGACAAACTAGCATTACTTTATTTTTGATAAATATAAATGTTTATACATATTTATATTTGTTTAGTATATTTGTTAATGACTGGGGTATGTTTGCTTTAGATGGAAATCATGTACAAGTCTGCTTGTGAAAACTCCTTCCTTTGTGCAACAATGAACTGAAGTAATGGAACAAAAGTATTAAACAATACTGAAAATAGTAAAAGTGTATCTCTATATAAGTGCACTTATATAGACAGAATTTCCCCACATCTCACAACATAATCAAGGTTACCCAGCCCTCCCCTAATGTCATAGCGGGATACAAGGAATTATCCGGCATACTTATTAAACTTTTCAGTGTCCAGGTTCTCTTAGATGTATGGAATCTAAATCTCCAACTGAGGTTTCCAGATATTGGCCACGATGAGGGAACAGACAATATGCAATAATCGCCACTGTCTCTCTATTATTGGGTTAAAGGACAATGAATCTGGTGTTATTTTCTACTATTCAGAAGTTGTTTAAATTCCAGGTAGTGTACTTACTACAGTTGTCAGCTCTTCTGTTATCTCGGATCACTATTCTCTGGTTAATGGTGCTGAAGAGTGTTGTCCAGTTAATGGTATGATAATAACACAGGTTGCTGTTGTCAGTAATGTAGATATTGCCCGCACTGATCTCCTTCAAAGACTGGAATTGTAGGGAAGTGATGCCTTGTTGCTTGAGGATAAGCAGTGATAGACCACTAAAAAGAGAGAGGGGGAATTGGCTAATGAATAATTCATGAAATATACTGTAAAGTTCAATAAGGACATAGCATCTCACAACAAAATTAAAAATAATGGAGCATAAACAGAGAATTAATTGGCAATTCTGTGCTCAGATATATACTTAAATAATCATTTACTTTCCTAATTGCTAATGTTCATTTCTTATAATTATGAACATTGACAATATGTATATTTACCACTGACATATGGACTTACTAGTTTATCTTGTCAGCCTAAATTTTGTGTTACTCAACAATGAAGTTCTATACTCAGACTAAATATTTATAGAATAAATACAAATATAAAAAATTCTTTATAGTTACACACTATATATAATATGTTAAATCAAACTATGTAAAAATAGACATGCTTTCACATGGTAAATATTACAGAAAAATGTAACCTTTTAGATTTTGTTTATAAATATCATAAACCAAAAATTGTATCGGTTGAAGAATGTATAAAAAGATTAGAAATACAATGAGTGATAAAAACCTAAATTTTAAAATAAAAGATATTGATGAAGTTTAGATAGTTGGGAAAGACTCTGAAACTTAATCTACTCAAGACAAAAAAATGATTTGCAGAAAACTCCATTACAACATAGCCAACATTTTGTGATCTCTATTTTCATATTCTATTGTGTTTAAATCATACTTTCCACATCTTTTCATTTCAATCAACTAAGTGGTATAGATCTTCCTTTGGTAGATACAAACTCCAATTTCACTAATAATTTTAAATACATTTGGCTTTAATATTTAGAACTATTCTTAATTACAAAATCAAATTGTGTTAAATCACAAAAATGGAGTCATCATTATTCTGTTTTTTCACTTCCTTCCTAAACATCTGACTAGTTGACTACTATATAATTGTAATTCTTGGAGTGATTAATATTTTATTCAATGGATAATAAAACTTGTTTGCATATAGCACTTGAATACATTTAAGTCCTCATTTTCCTTTATTTATTAAGATCATTTTAAACCCTTTCTGGGATGTTTATGAGTTTCAGTGTGGCAGCTTCTTACATTTATATTTCCTGTTTATTATCTATTTTCCCTCCTTACTCACTTGTTTATCTTTTCTTTTCAAATAGTCCCTATTTTTTTCATATCCTGTCCTATCTATCTATCTGTCTGTCTGTCTGTCCATCTTACTATCTATTTATCCATCTATCTATCTATCTATCTATCATCAACCAATCTATCATCTCTCTATATCTATCTTTATATCTATCAATCAATCAGTCCATCTATCATCTATCTATTTTTCTATTCTGTATTGAAGAAAATACAATGTTAGTCTTTTGGGGTATAATATATTTTCTTTTATATAATTGTCAGGACCATGATTTCCGATTTCCTGTATATGACAAAATGATTATTCTTTCATATAATACATATGGTAGGCTTCTTCTTCTGTGTGTGTGTGTGTGTGTGTGTGCATGTGTATTTATACAACTTTTACAGTTTTTATTGTTTCGTGAGAATGTCATAAATGGATATCATATTTGCATGATTTCCACTCCAAACTTCACAATTTTTATTCCTTGATACCATATCAACTTATGAATTATTTTTATTTAAATAACATTGTTTTATGCATATATGTATGCATAATATATATATTTTTTTCTGCCTAGTCCATTTAGTGTTACTCATATGTATATGTGTTTATGGTTGAACACATGGGATTTGATAACCTTATCAGTGGTTCATCTTTGAGGAATAATGATGTTCCCTCTCTCAACAGCCTTTGATTGTCTAGCGTAAGATTTTCTCTATCCACATTGGGATTTCATACAATATTGTCTTTGTGTATGTTTTATTTAGTCATCCACTTTTGACAGGCCAAGCCATTCCCCAACTTGGTTATTGTATATAGTTCTTCAATAAATATAGATGTGAATGTATCTCTGCCCAACGATAATATTGGGAATATACTTAGAGGCATATAACCTGATTTTACAGTGCTACTATTTTAATGGTAGAGGAACCCAACAATGATTTCTCTTGTTGGTATACTAGTTTACATTTCTATAATTGATGTGGAATTCTGCTCTCCTCCATACTTGTTATCATTTAATATATGCTATTTTCTCAATGATCTGCATTTGACTGAAGCAATGGCACTATTTTCTACTTTTTCTCATTAGATAATGTTGTTTTTCAAGTATGTATTAATCATTTGTACTGCTTTTCAAACTTAGAGCTTTTGTATAAATAGTCAACTTTAACTGATGCAATTTAAAACAAACCTTTTTTAAAAAGTTCAGGTTTATTAAAGGATCATTTTATCATAAATTTAAGAAATTGATGCCATGCGTTGGTGGTGCACGGCTTAAATCCCAGCACTTGGGAGGCAGAGGCAGGAGGATCTCTGTGAGTTTGAGGCCAGGCTGGATCGACAGCCTCCAAAACAATACAGAGAAACCCTGTCTCATAAAACCAAAAAAAATTTAAGAAATTGACATTAATATTTGCCCAAATATCCTTCTGATATTTAAATTCATTATTCAGCACTAAAACTAGTGGACTTAGCCCAGCATAATCAACACCAGATGTGTGGCATAGGAGATGTAGTTCTGCCCTCCCGGTACAAAATTCAATTCCCAAACACCCAAGTCATTTATGAGTTATCTAAGTATATACTTTATTTTAATAAAAGTTAAACACAAACTACAGTTCTATAGGTCATATCTCAGGCTTCATACCTGGAAAATTTTAACATCAGAACCAGCAAAAAGTCACATCTCACTGGGAATTATTTCAGGAGTCTAATCTTTGGAATTAATCAGTAGATAAGTAAGACTGATACTTTTAACATCGAAGAACTTATGATATCCCCCCTTGTATTTGTGCAGCTTACGGCATTGAACACAGTCACTCACCTGTAGAGGACCCGTCCTCCAATGGTGACAAGGTTGGAGAAAACACTGAAATCTGTCATGTTTGGAGGCCAGGATTGTATGTTCAGGAAACCTGTAAGGGGTTAAGAAAATGAAAACTACTTTTGAAGCATCCATCGTATACTTATTCTTTTGTGATTAAGTATAATTCTATGAGTTTCTGGAGTAAACAATAAATAATGGTTAATGTCAAAGCATAGGACCATGAATCCATGTTTCTAAGACTCAGGGTTTCATAAAGGTGTATGTGTCAAATATTGAAATAATACAATTTACTTTACTGTGGTAGATACATACACATAGAAAGGTCACCCAATTAAGGAGAAAAATAGTTTTATTTTTGTGAATTCTTTCACCATTTATGTACCTACTATCACATCTGTTGTAGAATATTATTTTAAGGTGTGTTTCTTCTATTAGTGCTCTGGAACACTTGTTTAATGATGTAAAGATGTGTTGCTTTTGTTTATATCTCATTTGTTTAACTCTGTGAAGGTATGATTCTTTGACTGTCTAAAACACCTGATGGTCTAATAAACAGCTGACTGGCCAATAGTGAGACAGGAAAAAGAACAGGGGAGGGGGGAGGAGAACATGAGAGATCAGGAAGGTCAAGTTGGGAGAAGAACAGAGAAGAGCAAGGTAAGAGAAACCTTAATAGAGGGAACTGTTGCATACTTAACAAGAAACGTGCACTAGGAAAATTTCCAGGAAATCACTAGCATGACCCCAAATAAGAATCTAAGCAATAGTGGACAGACTACTTTAAATGCCCTTCTCTCGTAATGAGATTGATGACTACCTTAAATGCCATCAGAGAGCTTACACCCAGTAGCTGATGAAAGCAGAATCAGAGATTCACAGCTTAACACTGAGCCAAACTCCTGGAATCCAGTTGTAGAGAAGGAGGAGTGATGAGCAAAGGGGTCAAGACCAGGCTGTGGAAACCCACAGAAACAGCTGACTTGAGCAAGTGGGAGTTCATGAGCTCCAGACTGATAGCTGGGCAGCCTTTATAAAACCAAACCACATTCCCTGAATGTAGGTTTCAGTTGGGGAGCTTGGGAAGTCTATGGGGTCTCTGGCAATGAAATCAGTATTTATCCCTAGTGAATAAATGATCTTTGGGAGCCCATTCCCTATGGAAGGATACTCTCTCAGCATAGATACAAGGGGGAGGGCCTAGGTCCTGTCCCAAAAGTGACAGACATTGAAGATCCCCCACAGGAGGCCTCACCCTCCCTGAGGAGTGGATGGGGGATTGGGATGGGAGATGATGGGAGAGGGACTGGAATTGGTATGCAAAATTAGATTGTTTTTAATTTAAATAAAATTAATTTAAAAAATTGAGGCAAAGAGTAAGAGCATAGAAACAACAACACATGTCTGTATTTACTTAGAAGTCTACGCTATTTGTGTTTAGCTCTAACCTATCTCATCAGGTTTTATTTTCTGTGATGTCAAGTTCAAATTTCATTCATATTTATGAACCTCTAAGAGTTATTAAAAGGGTTTAAAAATAGTGAATGCTAAAAAAATGTCATGTAAAATGAGTGCTATATATTCTCTGTATTAAAGTGTAATTCTTATGAGAAAATAAATTGCAACACAGGTGTTGAAGAATCATAGTTCTTTTGGTATTTGTAAGCACAGTATTAACAATATTTCACAGTTTATATAATTCTACTGGTTTTAAAATACAAAAGCTAATGAGTGTTCAAAATCATGTGAGATTTTACAAAATAGAAATTCTCTGGAAAATTGATTGGCTGTTATAAATATTATGTAATTATTTAATGAAAACAGAAGGTGGCAGAGTTAGTAGCAACATATATATAAATTTTAAGTACCTGTTATTTCTCTGACTGTCCGGAAGACATTTAGCTTCTCTGGGTCTATGGCTTCAATTGCATTGTAAGGGTCCCTAGAAATTCAAGAAGAGATGTAGCCTAATTTAAACTGATTATTTTTAGAAGAGGAAATTTTTGCTCCCATCTAAATAGTACATATTATTTTAAAAATTAACAAGTTTCTTAATACAAAACATACAAATTATGAATATTACTGAAGTACTCTTTCCTTATGAAAAATGCTTTCAACTTCAGTGTGTGATATGTTCTAAGGTTGTAATTTAAAAACAGCTAACAGACTATTTTCAGTTTTCATCCTCCAAAAATATTTTAGGTAAATATTGGACATGAAAAACAATTCCATAGTTGAATATTAAGCCCATCATAATACCAAATTATCTCAGTAATTAAAGTAATACGGTAATTTGAGGAACATATAGCATTTATTTAATTATTTATTACATTAAAAAGGCTCTCTGGGATGCTTGAAGAATTCATGTCTTCATGGAAATGTTAAATATTACACACTAATTACCTTTTTGTGAGATACTGTACTTTCTAAGAAGAGTGAACTTCAGCTTTTCTAGAAGTATGTAACACTTAAATGTGTTTTATTCTTCCTGTGAACACTTATCTCTGTAACCATTCGTGAGAACTTGCTATTTTTGATGGGGAAAACACAGAATACAGTAATTTCTTTATTCGATCTTAATAGGGTTATAAACCAAGATACGTTATAACACCACAACAAACCAGCAGGCATATGGCATAGTCACTGGAAATGGAGTCTGCATCCATGAAAAAATAGATTTGGAGGATCTTTATTTTCAACAACTAAGAGTTTCAGGTGGAACTTTCAAACACCTTGACTCTGGCTTTCTGAACTTGGTTCATCAGCATATTACCCCACACTGTGGACCATATCATCTCTTTATAAAAAGGCTTTGCTTTATTAAATTACTTTTCAAACTAAAAAATGCAATCAATGCAATGTACTACAAGTTAAATGTGCATGGAAGCTCAGATGCTGGGTACTGCTGAGACTGAGAAACCATAGGGACATTTTTCCATAACTCGAAAAAAACCCTATTGATTGTGGATATTCTCAGTGTCATATGAATATTTCTTAAAAGCTTAAACGTTAATGTCAAGTTCTCCAAAAGTTGAATTCTTTCTCTCTCACAGGCACTCCCATACATACATGCATTTATGCATGTATGTGTATATATGCACATATGTATGTATTTGTGTTGCATATGATCATTCTTTTTTTAGCTTTTTTTTACTTTAATATTAAATAGCTTGCTTCACATGTCAATCCCAGTTCCCTCTCCTTCCCCTCCTCTCACACCTCCCCACCATCTCCCCCCCCAGCCTCCCACCCTATCCCCACTTCCTTCTACATAAGGGATATCCAGAGTCTGTATATGACCATTCTTTTAATGTTTACATATACAAAATTAATTGAAACATTTGACAAAACTTTAAACTTTAAAATTAATTTGTATTTATTGTTTGAAAATTTCATACATAAACAATGTATCTTGATCATATCCACCCCTACTCCCTAATTCCAGTTTCCTCTCCAACCCATCCAATACATCTCCCTACCAACTTCATGGCTGCTTTTCTATTATAAAATATTTTAATACACTGAGTCCAATTAGTGATGCCCATACACACACAGTGTGGGATCATTTATTGTAATATATGTCAAAATAACAGTGACAATCCCTCCAAAGAAATGTTACTCTCCTTGATCCAGCAGCCTTCAATTACGTCTATCTCTTCAGTCAAGAAACCTGTCATACCTCCATGCTGGATGTTTTTAACTATCTTGATATTGTGGAGGTTCTGTGCAGGTAACCTCAGCTGCAACAAGTTCATGTGGGTAACAACCATGTCCTGACCAGGAAACAGTATTTCATATCACATCTATTTACGCTTGTGTTCTTGAATTTTATATCCACTTTATAATGTGCAAAACACTTTTAAGTAGAGGAAATAAATATAAGCCATGAAAGTCAACATACAACAATTCTGGCCAAAAAATAAAACATCCTGGCCTCACGAAAAAATATTCAAAATTCAGGGCAAACACATAGTAATGGAGTCAGCCCAAGTCATGACAAGAAATTTCTAGGTTTCCAGGAATGAAATTAATTTGGGGCTGTTAACAAGAAGCCCAACAGATCAGGGACATTTTATATACTTAATTTTAGAAATTCAAGAGTCCTATAAAATAAGTTGACAGAATTCCCCTTTTCAACTTCAAAGTAACTGTGGGGAGTCTTATCCAAAAGCCACTGGAGATACACAGTATCTTAAAATTGCCCTTCTACCTAAATATAGAGCCATATAAAAGAACGTGTGTTTGGTGATCCAAAATAATGTTCAGCATAGAAAGAAAATTCTAGGTAGGACTTATAGTATCTGCCACTATTGTGACCTGTCATCAAAATCTTTTCTTGTCAGTTCCTTTCTGTGACACAATTCTAGCATACTTATAAGCATCTTGTCACTGTAAGAACATGCCCACGAACAATGTCAAGACAAAGGATGATAGTTATATTCCTTTGATAATGCTAGACACTTGGGATGCCTGTAATTCTCATTCTAATTAAGGAATGTGTGCCCTTCTTTCCTTTGCTTTCTCCTCGCAGGCATACACATACACACAGACTGAATAAACAACCACACATGTATGTATACATACATAACTACACACATACATACATATATGTATATATAATGTCTTAGATCTATTGAAATGTCTTTATAGTTATAGTTTCATGAAATGAAAATGAATGGGAAGGGCAATAGAATATGTGGCTCATTCAGACATGATACTGAGAGTGGAGGATATATCATATTTCATACATATTTTTCTTGCAAAATGTCATATGTATTTTCCTCCAGACACAAGAGTATCAACTTTAACTTCAAAGTACCCCAGGTTTCAATGCTATGATTAACAACAGACGTTCATCTGAACTAAGAAGCACATTGTATCTGAAAAAAATTGCCTTTATTTGTCTTCTAAGATAGTCTATAAAAGACTACAGCTAAGCCATAAAGTAATATTTGTTTAACACTTTTTTGAACTATAAAATGGAAATAGTCACAGACGTTTTCATTTTGCTGCCTTCTGTACCTGCTTTCAGTGATTTTTGTTTCCTTTGCCGTATTCATCTATGTCCTTTACCTTTTGCCATCCATTAAGAGTTTACTCCTAAAGACTGAACAAACCAAAATACTTTTTGATTTATTCACCAAAACAGCCAGAAGCGCTATTTATTATCAATCCATTTCTCAGTTTTTCAGCGGAGGAAAGCGTGTGTTTGACGTGAAAGAGAATCCACCAAGCTCCATTCACACCATCCATCATGTAGCTGCTATTCAAACTTAATGCTAGTCAGGATTGGGTCACCTACGTAAACTATCTCATTTGTCTTTTCTTAAGTTCCTTTTAAAGACAGCCTTTTACCTGTCTTTAAAAGGAACTCAACTAGAAGTTGAGTTCCTTTTAAAGACTTCTAGTCCACAGTAATTTTTCTAGGCAATTCTTTTCCACTTGAATGAATTAGTGACATTATAATCCACATAGAATGAGAACCTTAAATTTTCATAGTTTTCATGTGATTGCTATTGTACAACATGTTTGAGCCCATGAGATAATTGTTTCTGTTTGTTTTGTAATTATCTGTTGAAATTTACCTCACTTTGGAGTGATATGAATATGTAAAATCCTCATAAACAGCATAACTTCTCCAAAATTTTCTATGATGATACAGTACTAAAATACTTACGCTAAGCCTCCCCAAACCATTTATTTCTTAAATTTCACTCAGACATTATTTCAATGAATTTTGATCATAGGTAGGTCACTTTTAATAATTTTCTACTACTATAATTTTTTCAGTGGTTCTAAGTGGGGGAAGTGCCACTCCATTGAAGAGAATTTGAAATATTTACAGTAATGTTTTAATTATAATAGTTAAGAGTAAGTAGGCTTTTAATAACCCAAGGACAATGCTGTTAAAATCACATTAAAGAAAAAGAGTTACCTGCGTCCCGTACAATCTTAACAAAGCAGTACCAGAAACAACCTCAGATGTGCTAACTTTACACTGAGTCATCATTTGTGTGTAATTCCTTAACCATGTTCCAACTTCAAAGAAATTTAGTTCCCTCTGTTATGGGATCGTGTGTGCTTGTGTGTGTGTGTGTGTGTGTGTGTGTGTGTTTGTGTGTGTGTATAATATATATTTTTAGTTATTTCCTATTTCAGTCTCCAAATATTCATATGACCTTTATTATCTGTACTTCCTATAATGAAATGATTTCTAATATCATGTCTCAGAAATATAAATTTTTATTTTAAGCAGTAGTTGAGGAATTTTTCAAATAATACCTATTAACCACACTGGGCATTTTCATATGTTTGTTTTAATTATAACTAGAAATTACAATAATTTTTAAAAATTTATTTAAAAGGGTACAATATCTCTAGATTTTATTTTGAATTTAATAAGATGTCAAAACTTCATGAATATGTCTAAACCTATTTCTCTAAGGCAATTCAATTCATGAGAATGTATTTTCAGATTTTGATGAGCACTGAAGGCTTGGCACTACATTTTTACCACATCTACAAATGGATAATATCAGTGTTAGAGGATCTAGAATCACCATGGAGATGAATCTCTGCGCATACCTAGAATAGGTTTGCCTTTGGGTATTCTTGTAACTATGTTGATTATGTCAGTGTATGTGGCAAGACCAGCTTTAAAAGTGCATGGTACTGTTGTAGAGGCCAGAGTTCTGGATAGAGTGAAAAGGAGAGTAAGCCATACACACAATGTGACTTGTGGCTCAAGGTCCTGCCATGACTTCCTTGCCCTGTTAGCTGTACTTTGAAACTGTGAACCAATATAAACACATCCTCCCTTAAGTTGCTTCTGCCAGGGTGTTTTATTATAGTAAGAGAAAAATAACTACTACATTGTTCATGCAGAATCATGCATGGAGCACTAAGTGGATCCATCTTACTTTTGGATCCACAGATAATATTACTAGCAGATGCTCTTTTTGTCATAGTTTAAGAAAGTAATAATAACATACACATATGTCATTTCTGGTATCATGTACTCATTGAATTATAAATGGAGTAAACATTGGCCGAAGTATCCTACCCAATGGGCTAAATATGCTAGGTCAACAATGCAGATGATATCTAGGAACTGAAGGGACTTTAGTAAAGTTAATGGAATGGTCCCATCTCAAAATGGTGAGGGTTACTCAAGTCCAACACATCATTGTCCATATAAGAATGTGGGTTGAATGCCCATCCAACAATGAGAGATGCACTCTCACCCTGGACTCTCAGGGGAGGGTCTAGGCCCTGCCCTGAATAAAATGACAGACTATGGACACCCCATGGAGTGCCTCTCCCTCCCTGGGGAAATGAGGGGATATTGGAAGTGGTTGGTGGGAGGGCATGGGAGGAGGGGAGGGAAAGAGAGAAGGACCTGGAATTGACATGTGAAGCAACCTTGTTTAAAAATAAAAATAAAAAAATAAAAAAAGAATGTGGGTTGAGAATTCCCAAGATTTTAATGGAAGTTAGATATCTCAATTTTTAAGAAAAGCTTTGGTTTGGCTAAAAAAAAAACTGGACATAAGATACATGTATACCTTTACAGGACATGACATGAGGCCATATTAAAAACTACATTTTTAAATAGAGATGCTGTATGCAACAGCATAAATAATAATTTGTTTGAATGAAGATAAATACTTTGTCACATAGCTCATGCTGTTCTTATTTGGAAATATTTATTCATAATGTGTTAAGCTATTTTGCTTCCAGAAACGATGTGATATATGTTCAGTGTAAGAGTTTGAATTAAAATATGTGAGTGATAGTCTTTATTTGTAGCCGATAGCACTAATATTTAGAGATTAAGAAGTAATATAGACAAATAGATAAAATACAAAGTACAACTATTGACGTTTTTATTACACAAAGAATACAAACTTGGTTATTTCCCCTGTTAAAGCCAGCAGGCGGTTCTGTAATGAAGGACCCCAGATAATGTAAGAATTTTTATTACCAAAATAAAATCCACTTTATAGTCTTGCTAATTTCCCCATATAAGAGAAAGGGAGAGAAGAATACATCAGAACAAACTGAAATTTTCAAAGCATCTTAGGAGAATTTCAACTTAATTTTATGTCAGATTCTCTGAGTTACTTCATGTGAATTTTTTAAAGGGATATGTGTTGTTTTGAAGTAATGTGTTGCAAATTCAAAGGGGATGCCTCACTTTATGTGGTAGTGGTATTTCCACAAAACCTGAGAAGCTCCTAAGACCTGAGCTTGCTAAGACAATTGGTTTTAGGAGATTGCTCTCAAAGCACATTTAAGCTAAATTACAAATTTGCATTGTCATACCTAAGTACTGAACACACTCAGAAGAAGGCAGACCAGTCCCTGGCACTCTTGGAGGGCTGACCACTACTGTAGCTGGATAGAGTGCTAAGGTAAAACTCTTCTAAGTCCAGATGAATCATTAATGAAAGTATGCGGAGCAAAGGAATGAACACCTACCTTCACTTCACAGAACAAAGCTGTACAAAAGTGAATACTGACCCGTGAATCCCAGTGACAAGGAAAATGAGATTCCCATTGATCTTTGTGCAGTTTATGAATTTGTCAATGTTGCTGGAATCCACTGTCTGAGCTGACATCAATGATCCCGTGCCGATGCCATCACATGCTATAGAGGCAACATTCAGAGTAAACAGCTACAAACCATATTCTAATACACCATTGTGCTTTTCATTATAAAATAATAGCATCTATTTCAAAATGTAAAAATACCTCTTTCTCACTAAAAGATAAAGTTATTTATTTTTGATTTTTCAAGATAGGACTTTTCTATGTTTCCCTGGCTGTCCTGGAACTCATGATGTAGACCAGGCTGGTCTGGAATTCAGAGATCTGCCAGTCTCTGCCCCCAGAGTACAAAGATTAAAGGAGTGCTGGAATTTTAAAGGCATAAGACACCAAGCCCAACTTTATCTATCTATCTATCTATCTATCTATCTATCTATCTATCTATCTATCAATCTATTTATCTATCTTTCTATTCCTTTGGCCCTACACAGCCATATATATGATGAACAAATTCTCCCTTATCAGTTTACAATAATTCTATTTTCTCTCTCACTTAATCACTCCCCAATATGCTCCAAACTCAAGAAAAATAAAAGTGAAAGTAAAAAGACAAAACCTATCAAATTCTAAAAAACATACAAGTACACATATACGCACACAAACACACACACACCATACCACACCACAGTGTGTGTGAGTTAGAAATATATATAATAAATACACACTATATATATATATATATAGAGAGAGAGAGAGAGACAGAGACAGAGACAGAGAGATACAGAGACAGAAAGACATTCACACACAAAAGTGTATAGTCTAAAGTATGAGGTTTCCTCTTTGCTAACCTTAGTACTTCAATAGCTTAACATTTGAGAGTTTTGAAGTCTACTTTCATCCTGTTTAAAGGTTTTCTTCTGATGAGAAATTCAAGCACTCAGGCCTAGATAAGATGTCTTTCTTCATAAAAAGTCTTTAACACAAATTGTCCGTGACATTGATTTAATACTTACAGTGCAGTTCTTGTTATTGCACACATCTATTAAAATATAGTTATAAGACATGGAGACTGAATGCTATGTTATCCTTCCCCTTACACACCTTTCTGTATGGAAATAGTTTATGTCATACTAAACACCTAGTGGATCCTTGTTTTATGTAGAACTTCTAACAGTTGTTTCTGGGTAGGGATGTGGTTGGATTCTAGAGTATTTGTCTGGCATGATTAAAGCCATGGGTTCAATCTCCCAGCCCTGTATATAATTTAAAAAGGGAAAGAAATATCCTTTGATTTCTCAGTTCCTGGGTGTTTGTTTGGTACAGTCTGTTGGTATAATTCAAAGTCAATCAAAACCATTATTAGCCATATTTTTCAGAACAATAAAATTATATAAATTTTGTGTGTGTGTGTGTGTGTGTGTGTGTGTGTGTGTGTGTGTGTGTGTGTGGTCAGTCATCTATTGTGGAAGGGTAATTATTTTCTGAGAAACTAAGTCCCACTGGCCAAGGTACATGAAGTCAGGAAGTGTGCCTTAACTTCTATTCCCAGGGTCGAGAAGGCAGAGGAAAGCAGATCTCTGAGTTCAAGTCCAGGCTGGTCTACAGAGCAAGTTTCAGAAAAAAACATGGCTACACAGGGAAACCCTGTCTCAACAAACAAACAAACATAATACATCCACAAAACCAACCCAACAAACAAAAGCACAGGAAAGGCATTAGCAAGACCCTGTTACACCCCAACACTCTGAAGCATAACTCACCTTTCGGGCAAATGTCAGTGCAAGGCTTACACATTTTAATTCCATTTTCTTCTACTTCCATCTTGGAACTAGGACAAGCACGCACACAGGAACTGGAATCTACCACAAAGTTATCTGATTAAAAAAATAAAATAAACAATAATGTTAATGTTAAACCATCAAATTTAAAAGAAGATAGTTTATGATTTTAAAATAGCATCATTGACAACATATGTCTATTTCCCTAAAACAAATCCTTCTCTAAGTACTCCAACTTGAAACAGTATCTCTGACTCCTGAATTCCACTCCAAGAGCAGTGCGTGCTAAGAGCGGGTATCTGCTTGGCTACTCCTCCACATTCCAAAGTACCACCAAGATAGAGTGATAGAGCGATTACTTTTATAAACGAAGGAAACTACATCACATTTAGTTTGTGTTTCTCAATAGTTCCACTTCATTTCATGACATTATGCGAGTTGGAAGTCTAAAATATGTCAAGTTCATGAGGCTCAAATGAAGCTTATGTTAAACCGCCTTGGATCAAGAGAGTGCACTTCAAATCCAAGAAGTATTTAAATGCACCCTGTGCTTTATTGGAGCTCCACCAAGCCTTTCTGACACAGTGAAATTGTGAGAGACACCACTTTATCAAAGTATACAGTTAGACGAGGGACATCTTGTTACTTAGACTTGGTGACATGCTCAGGAAACCAGTAATCTGTGAGGTGCCAGGACTGTCTCTTTGAGGTAAAGAATAATCACTACATCTAGAGCTATCAGAAGTAGAGAGAGGGACATTATGATGTCTGCAGCAACAGTCTGGCTAGGAATGTAGCCACCTTCCTCAAATACTTCTCTGGACCTATATACATTGCTTTGAAACGTTTCAAGCATGAGGTGTGTCCAAAGCAGAAAAGACATGTAGTCTTAGTAGCATGGTCCATGGACCATTCAATCCAAGTGTTTCTGTGATATTTTATCTATGGTGGGTGTAAATGCCATATAGAGTTATGAAGTTCAACCTAGAAAAACCTAACAGAGACCTCTAAGATCTTAAGAGTCATGGCATGCTGTCTATGGCACAGGATTGTGTACCAATTAGCAAACAGATATTAAAATGCTTTCAGGAACTAATAGAGACAAAGCACCCCACTAAAGAGTCAGGGTTGACTTATGGTCAGCAATGCCATAATCAACACGCTTGAAGGAAAGCACTCATAGATGGTAGTGGAATATGTCACGTCTTCTAATGGTACATTTTCTAGGTAGTAACATCCCGGTCACTTTGTATGGAGGAAAAATGACTCAAAAGCACTAGGCTGTTTTATGAGAAAAAAGATTAAAACTTCTGAGAAGAAGGGAATCCAGGGTAGAAAAATGGCATGGTCAGTAATTCTCAATGGTCAACATAATATCATACTTTAAAAACCTAGATCTCCAGCTTTCGTTTGTGCCTGAGGCCCCTTTCAAAGATAAGTACTGTGGATTTCAAATTGATTATTATTACCAGAAGGCTTTCAGGGATCACAAAGGCTCTAGTTTTTATCTGACTCAGGACCACTCTCAATACAAAGAGAGAATCTTTGCTGCAAGCTCTACTACCATGCATTGGATCCCTTTTCCTGCTCTAGGAGGGACTGACATCTCAGACACCATGAGACAAAAATGAACCTACGTTGTTCTTGTCAGGTGTTCTAATCACAACAACACAGAAGTAACTAATATAAGGAGCATGTTCAATTCATCTGTGGTAGGCGAATGTAGAAAATGCAAGTTATCTGTCATAGAATGTCCACCACAAATGACTCTTTGTTTTATGCACTAAAGCCTGACCCTTGTTTCTTTTCTTCAATAAGTTAAGTTTTTACATTTCAGGATGCTCAACTGGGGAGTGTAGATCTGTGTAGAAGATAAATTATCTTATTTTCAAAGATAGTTGAAGTTCCCAAACCAAGCCTAGTGAACAGGCTATAGACAGTCTTATTGTTACTGTTTAACAGCATGGAAGGGCCTTCAACTGGACAAAAGTAGAATATTCTAGCTGTCATATTTATATTCTACAGATTCTAAATCCTCCACTCATATGAGTATATAAGTAAATGTAGTTATTAATTTTAAAGTTTTTTGAGTTACTTAATTAGACTTTCCAATAGGTAAAAGTCCCATTTGTCACTAAAAGCAACAAATATACATATATACACATATGGATATAAGTATATATATATGCACATATATATGATCATATATATGATCACATATGATATTCAATATTGATCAAAGTAGTGATGGCTTTCTTGAATCATTAGCACTTGTTATCAGTTTGCTAAATATCACTTAACGATCTTCATATCCAATTATTCTGGCATATATTATAGTATAAGTAAACAATCAGCAATAAATATAGGAATAAACCCAACTCTATCACTATCTGACCTTGTTTTTCATACTGATTGCTTTCAACAATGATCTCTTTCAAGAAACAGCATCACGTGTTGAAAACCAAGGTATAGAGAAAAAGCCAAGGGTTTAGGAATCAGTAAGCCACCACTCTAACCTCAAGTCTGGCACAAACTCATATAATCACTTAAATGTGTTGATCCTTACTTTCCTCTTTTTATGAAATATAAATGGTAGAACTCATAGCCAATGTAAAATAACTTGCCATTTTCACTATTCAATTTCAAATGAAAACGATCATACATGAAACCTCTCATTTTTCAAGTAGTGCTTTAATTATTTGATGTGCCTTTGTGTGTTACTTACGTGGGCACTTTTTCACACAGAATGCTCCGTATGTGTACTTTGCATTAAAGTTGTGCTCTAGTTGAAAGGTGGTTGGATTGTAGACGAATGTCTGGGGACACTGAGTAACACAAGCTCCACTGTCATTGAAATTCATGCATGCCTGCAACACAGCAAATACATTCATAAGTAACTTTCTTATATACTTGTCAATACAACACTGTTATCATGGCTTAGTCAAAGTTGCCATACTTTTTATTATATTCCTATTTTATGAATCCTACCCAAACTTATCATTTTAGAGTCATTGTGATGTTAAGTTTTCATTAACTTCTCACCCTCTTTTTTGTCAGTAAATAGTACCATCTCTAATTACTAATCTTCACATAGAGTATTATATATCATATGATTTTAAACTGAGAATTGGTTTATAATGTTGAATCTGGACGAATTTGAGTTCACACTGATTAAACATCCTTATATTTAATCTTTATATTATTCAGTTTATGTGTCCAGTTCAGTAGATAAGAATTTGTTTGGGGAGGGTGACTGGAGAGTTCCTGCCTTGTGTGTGTCAAGTTAAGCGCAAGTATCATTCTACAGTAGGAAACATAATGATGGTCATTTATTTACCTGGATTTAAGGAGAAGCTGGGGAAAAAGACTGAATAAGTATAATGGTTTTAAGGGTAAAATATGAAGAGCTGGGAGATATTATTAGTCTGGGCTTAAATAAAATGATGTAATTTTCATAATAGTACATCATTTACAGTAGCCATTATGTTGAAAAGGCATTTGATTTTGCTAACATAAATTTGTCTTCAGATGTATTTTTATTACTCCTTTCAAATTCCCTTGGGAAAAACTGAAAAAGAATTTCCTACCTGAGAGTTGCATTTCTGATATCACAAGAAAACTCATATAAACATGCGATTAAGAAATGGGTGAACAATCTAACTCTTTTAATCAAGAAATGAAGCTTTCCTGTGAATAATTGAGGCCTTGTAAAAGAGCTAACATGAACCAAAGCTCTGTTTTACATTTCATTATAAATTGTCATATGGTTATTAATAAGAATTAATTTATTCTGCTTCCTCACAACATTTTCTTCATCAATTATTGTTTTAGCAAACATTTTATCACAACATGACAACTCTCTGATGATGGTCTACAAGGTACATAATCAGCAAGAGACTCACTGATGATACATTAGTCACTAAGATGACGCTTTATAGGAAGACTCTATTAAAAAGCAATCTAGAAAACTCAGTAAGTTTTAATTTATGACCAAGAAACATCATGTGTTCTTGTAATTGAATTACTAACACACTTGCTGCACTGATATGCAATGTACATATACTGCTTTGGAACAAGGGGATTTAAGGCAGAGGAATAGAGCAAATTTACCTTCCAGTTAGCACACAATCACGGTGCAACTTATACCAAAGCCTCAGTCTGGCATTCATGAACATTCTGAATTAAACGCCAAAGTGAAATCACTGGACCATTCCAATATAGTAATGAAATGAGAGCTCTCAAGAGCATCTGGTACTGCTTATCACAATAATACAAGGGAAAGGGCACAGTGCCACATCCTACAGGGAGAGGTGTTCCTAATGTTTCCCACTGTGCTGGCTTGGAATCATTACTGCAACACCTGCAGTGTGCAGTATCTTCAAAATCAAGCTTGGTGCTCTCATATCCATGCTGGTGACAGACAAGAAAGGGCTTTCCATTCGGGTGCCAAGGCTCGTCCTTAGATGTTTAACATGTAGGAACTCTTCTATTCTTTGTTTGAATTCAGTTTTACCAGACTCTTTTGTTTCACTATAGAATCATATCAGACAAATTCAGTTTTCTATAATTTTTAAAATCCAACCAATAGCTAGATACAGCCTTAGTGCTCTAATTTATATTTTGCTTATTGGATGAAATCTCATTTCTAAAAAATTTCAATTTTAATATGAGTTTGGTGGAACAAAATACATTTCTAACATTTTTTGTTGATTTTTTGAGAAATGGAAAATAATTTGTTGTGTTCTTTTAAAAATAAAACAGTGTACTGTTTATTATTTTAGACTAAGATTAGTATTCTGGTTTATGAACTTGAGTAAATTATCACTTATGAAGTTTTTATATATGTGTATATATTTCAAATAACAAAAACTTATACCAAGACTGCAATATCAAATGTAATTCAAATTTTTCTAACAAAGGAAAGTTAGTTTTGTTGAAATAAAAGTATCCTCTTCAAAAATATTAGCCAGTTTATCGCATAAATAGAAATATGCATTTCTTTGTTTTAAATATATAACAACATTAGTTTGTTAACAGTGCAAACTTGAAGATGATTAAATGCATAGATTTCTTTGACATAAGCTTAAAACTGATATTCAGGAAGCAACTGTCCTCATTCATTGGAATCATTAATACAACAACACAAAGTGGTAAGTACTGAGTATGTGGAAATGATGTTCTCAGTTTCTGAATAACATCCCAGCATGTTCTCATTCATGATCTTCAACACTCTCATGTCACACATAAATTATATCAGAAAGGCAGAATTAACCTAACTGGTACAAATTAATTCTGTTTAATTAATAGTCAACCCATTAGAAAGACTTTATAATAATACAATGATCAAACTTAATCTTAATATAATCTAGTGTTAAATAGTCTGTGTGGCTCTGACTCGGTCATAAGGAAAGAGAGGAGGGCAGGGAGAAAGAGAGATCCTGAACATACAAAGCAGTCAGTGTCCTTTGGTCCAGAGCAGCCTCCAGCACATTCCCGATGGCAGCAGTCACTAACGTAGGGTCCATAGCACCTGCCATCACATTGTTCAGCACACACAGTTCTTGTCACTGGAGAAGACAAAGAGAGGGCATCAATCAAAGCCACCCACCAACAGATCTATGTTTGTAACAACAAAACATGTGTTCTGAAACCACAATTTGTTCTACCTAATATTGATTTATTCGGAAAACATTAAATGTATTAACCATGCAATTAGAAGCAAGTTACTGTACAAAAGCTTCATTTATATGTATGTATACATATTTATTTATATATAACATTATTTTTGGGTTCAGCAAACAGGTAGAAACACCAACAAAAATCATTGTGTGCTTTTAGTAAGAATGGGAATAATAGAATGAGCAAGGAAGTGGATAAACTCAAGTACAAGAAGTCTGTGGGGGAGAAAGTGCCTTCAGATACTCAGTTAAGATCTCTGGCCCTCAACAGATGGGAGGTAAATTATTAGGCGATTCACATTATATGCTACATGAAAAAATGCAGGGATGGAAGAAAGGAATGAAGGAAGGAAATAATGGTTAAAACATAACAAATTCTTTCATTGGTCCTTTGTAACTTACCAATTCAATGCACAGCATGAAATCATAGTATAATTTAATAACAGCAATGCATAGGTGAGATATTAAAATTATACTAAAAAGGGATACAACCCTACTTATTTCAATTACTACAGAGACATACTCCCCAAGTACTTTCTCAGTATGAACACTACAAAATATATGAAACATGTGGCTCTATGGCTTCTTTATTTACAATTCTGCCTGCTTCGTTTGTTATCAATTCTTGAACTAAGCTGTTATGACACCACTTCCACCACAGACTACATTCATTTCATTACAATCAATGAAATGTTGCTAGGTGACCAATAGCTCACCTAGAAACTGAAGATGGGGCTTCCATTTCTCTTTTCCCTATCACTTCTTATACCGGGAAAAATCAACAAGCAATGTTAACAATATTTCACATTTTTTATTACTTTCCTGTCTCAATGCTGGTTTATGCATATCTACAAAGTTTTACATATCATTCTAGAAGGCTTCTTATCTTTCTTTCCATTTAATCCTCAATGTTGCTCTGAATAGATGGTTTTTTAAAAAAGGAGCTATTAGACATAGAGCAAAGGATTACCAGCCTACAATGCACACTGCCAGAGAAGCTAGGGAACAAGAACCTGAAGAGAGACATATATGGTCCCCCAAAGAAGAGGAAAGAGACAAGATTTCCTGAGCAAATTTGGAGCATGGGGGTTGGGGTGATAGAAGAAAGAGAAGGGGAGAGAGGAGGGCAGAGAAAGACATGAGGGAGCAGAAAAATTGAGTCAGTGGAAGAATGGAGGAAAACTAGAAAAGTGATACCTTAATAGAGGGAGCCATTATATGTTTAAAGATAAATCTGGCACTAGGGAAATGTTCAGAGATCTACAAGGATGATCACAACTAAGAATCTAAGCAATAGTGGAGAGTCTACCTTAAATGCTCTTCTTCTATAATAAGATTGATGACTACCTTATATACCACTCCAGAGCCTTCATCCAGTAGCTGAAAAATGATGAAGCAGGCATCCAGAGCTTAGCACTAAGCCAAACTCCTGGAAACTAGTTGCAGAGAGGGAAGAGTGATAAGCAAAGGGGTCAAGACCAGGCTGGGGAAACCCACAGAAAAAGGTGACCTGAACAAGGGGGAGTTCATAGATCCAAGACTCATAGCTGGGAAATCATGACACAGGCCCCCTGAATGTTGGAAGTCCTGGGAAGTCTATGGGGCATCTAGTAGTGGAACAGTATTTATCTCTAGTGTATGATTGGACTTTGGGATCTCATTCCACACAGAGAGATACTCTCTCAGTCGAGACACATGGGGGAGGGCCTAGGCCCTGCTCCAATAGATGTGACAGATTTTGAGTATCCCACATGGAAGGCCTCACCATCCCTGGGGAGCAGAAAGAAGATGGGATGTGGGATCAGAGGGGGGGCAGTGGAGGATGTGAGGGAGAGGGAATTAGAATTGATATGTAAAAAAAGATTATTTCTAATTTTAATAAAAAAGAGAGAAAAGCAATCCCTTGATTCAGTGTTGATACACAGTATAAAATATTTGCCATCAATGTATGAATGCATTATAATAATACTTAGCAAAAAGTAAGAAATTTCCATGAACGTATGAAAGTTTCTACATTCTCTGGAGCCACTCACCACTGCTCATCTTTCTCACATGTGGCAAAACATGCACTCACTCCTTCACACTGCTCTCTGTGGATTGATTTTCATTGCATTGCCATGAGGCATTCATCTGTCTTAAAAGTGTTCCTGCCTTCTCTGCAGAGCATTCCTCATTTTGAGCCTTTACTAGACATCTCTCCAAACTGAACTTCTCCATTACTCTTATTTCTGAACAGGAAGCTACAGTTCACACAGCAGTCCAAGTGTCTGAAGCCTAGGCTCATTCCAAAATCTAGTACACTGTATCTCCTGTTATCATGTTAATGATAGGACAGGAATTACCACTTGTCCAACAGGATTGGAGACAAACCCATGACACAAGTGTAAAGTGCTTATTGAGTGTGAGTAACGCTGTACAAATGCATTATATAATGTTAATTGCATTCTACACAACAGTTGTTTTGTCTGGGTTAGCTCATTCCTCCTGACTAAATGATGAGTTTCTTGACTTTTTCCTAAAACCTAAAAATAAAGTATTTATTTTCAGTAACAAGTACAATATTTAGCACTTGGTGAACAACAGTACACAACATCTTTATTGAGTTAGATGTCAGAAATTGCCAATCTAAATGCTAATCTAAATTATCTTTTAGACTCTAACACACTTCTTGGAAAAATAAAATGATGTAGGAGGCTACCAAAATATCTCTTGGAAAAAAGAGTAAACAGGCAATTATTAAAAAACAAGAATTGCCATTAGCACTTAATAAATTAATAAAATTCTTAAATTCTGTGACTGGTTATTTTCTGTTGCAATAGCTTTACTTGGGTCTGTTTCCTATGATGATGATCCTCACTAGATGATATAGAACATTGAAATATGAAGCCTGTCATATTGAACAAAATCTCATTACTCCTTCTATACTAAAACTAAACCAGAGCTAGGCTCATGATCTGTGGTGACTTTATTTTGAAAATCATATACCATTTGCTGTGCTGTGTTTTCTGTTTTGTTTTGTTTTGTTTTCAAGACAGGGTTTCTCTGCAAAATAGACATAGGTGTTCAGAAACTTACTTTTTAGTCAAGGCTGGCCTCGAACTCTCAACACTCTGCCTTTTTCTGCCTCCAGAGTTCTGGGATTAAAGACATGTGCCACCATGCCCTCACATAGTAGCTTTTTGTCATAAATAACTAATTCATAAAGATTTTCCTCTTCGTTCTCCCCTTCCCCGTCCCTCTCTTTGTCTTTTTTTGCTTTCTTCTTATGTTGTTTAACATTTTCTCCTTCATTATATATTTTGTTGTGTCATCTAACATCATCTGACATATCTTCCATTCATTTGTTACATTTCTTAGTTTGTGGCTAATTCCAATTTTTAGAATTGTAATTGATAATCATACAGTTTTAATTTATATACTACATAAGTATACATAATATAGCCCATAAATATACACTGCTAAATTGGTTTAACCTCTAACACTTCATTCTCATACACTTATAGTATTCTTTCTAACAATTCACTAAACCCTACTACAATTATATATACATATTAGCAATTAATACTATGTAATGTAAAATTTATGGATGCATAGTTTTATAAAGAATGTATCCAAATATATGTTTACCATAAAGCTCTCTCAATGGCCTGGAAGTAATTAAAATTGCAGACATGTGTTAAATAAGCAAAATACTTCATTTCAAATAATTGTCATCAAAGAGCATCCTATTACTTTGTTTCTAGGTAACAAACATTGTTCAGCTCAAAATCAGCAGCACAAGCCCAGAGCAAATATGTCCTATATGCAACAGAGTATTTAATTCTAGACACATATTTCCGAAGGTTAATTTTTGTTTATAACTGCCTAGATTCATGGTAATATACAATATGTTTTAATTTCTCTTTATTTACTCTGGCCTTCCCTGAAAAGTGGGGGAATTATTGTAGAAAATATTAAAATCATAACATTACTAACTCAGAATTTATCTAAATATTATTGAATAGTCACACCAAGATCCTTAATCTCTTTGACATGCTAAAATTTGTAAACTTCGTAGAATGATTATTCCATGAGACAATCATTTGTTTTAAATTGTTTAATTATCTATAATGAATAATGTTTAAAAATTCCAAAGTCACAAGATCTTCCACAATATGGCCAAATATCTAAAATTTCCAGTACATTTAGATGTCTTATATTCAGTTTCAATTCAGGGAAATATAAAAAACAATCTGATTAATTTTTATCCAAACCCAAACTCTTAAAAAATATCTGCCTCTGTGCAGGGAAACCCTCCAGGAACTGCTGGACCTGTACCAGTGGCAAACAAACCTTCAAGATCTTCATTGAAAATTCCTTCAAAGGTATTGATCAAGTGTTCCAAATGGAATTACAGGCCAATTTAGAAACAAAGGAAGAGGATTTCTATCAAAACCAATCTACAGGCATCCTCAGACGTTGCTTGGCTCTCCTTCAGGTATTGTCAATCCTCTAGAAGATGTGAAGATGGGGATTTATTCTAAACCAGGGGCAGGAATGGGAGGTACAGTCCTTTTTATGCAGGAGATGCAGGAGCTGACAAAAAATTACTAAGACTAACCCATGAACAGGGCTCAGGCTGAGGAACTCTGCAGAAATTTTTGGCATCGATAAGGAGGATATGACTGGTGCAATTGTGCAGACAAACCAGGAAAGAAACAAGAGATTGAAGAGCAACATCTGTAACCTGAAAGCTGAACAGGCTACAGAAAAAATGTTGGAGGGAATGCAAATGAAGCAAGGGCTGATGCTGAAAGAGAAAGATAAGAGTTACCAGAAGCCTGTGAAATTGTCCCTGAGAAGATGGGAAAGGAACAGGCCCAGCTGAATGAGGAGCAACAGGGGACCAC